GTGACATCAATAAAAGATCTGGTTCTCTTTCTACCATTTCGAGCCACAGATTAGAGCACAATTATGATTTTAAATGGGATCAAATCGAGGTTTTGGATAGAGAACCATTTTATAACAAGAGATTAATTTCAGAAATGTTACACATAAAAAAGCAACAGAATAGCCTTAATAAACAAAGTGACACGGAATTCCTTCCTAACTCTTACCTACCCATTCTTCGCAAATTTCCCTCCTTTTAGACTCTCTCCAGATCCCCCTCCTTTTCTCCCCTCTTCCATATTCCTTCCTCCTCTCCCCTTTTCCTATAATAGATCAGCTCCTTTTCCTTCTACCAAAAATCTTTTCTCACTTCAATTTCATCCTTCATTCACCTGACATATATCCGAATGGACATATCAAAAGTTTTTATTTTATCCTTAAGGACTTCAATGTTCTAATCGGATACCATAACATTTTTATCAGACGTTTTGACATTTGGACTTTCTTATATTCAACTGTTTTTGTGATTGAAGGTAAATATTGCTCTGTTTTTCTTTCATTTTATATGACTAACGTTTTTCTATTCATGTGTTGGGTTAAAGTCGTTTCACATTTTTATAATAGTCTTTATTTTTATTTCTTTTATTCATCTTTCTCATAGATTGACCGATCATTTGTCTGCTTTTCATTATTTACAATCTGTTAAGCATAAGGAAAAGAAAGAAAAAAGAAGAATGTCTTTTGAGCGTTGCTGTGCATGTCGCATACTAGGACAGCTTGATTTATATATGTTCGAATTTGGAGACACATTTACTGCAACATTTTATTATTTATAACATGGACATTCAAGTAAGATCTCTTAACCTGCATTTCTTATACGACGACTTTGCAACATTTTATTATTTATAACATGGACATTCAAGTAAGATCGCTTAACCTGCATTTCTTATACGACGACTTTGCGTTGCAGTATTAATTTATTACTATTTATTTTATTTTATATTAAAATGAGCGTTCAAATTATCCAACCGATATGCGTTAGCCTTGCGGAGCATATTTGTTTTTATTTTTTCATGTTTCCTCTATAACGATTGTTTACTTTCTATTATATTATCACTGAAGATGGCCAAAATAAATGTGCCGAAACGTTTGAATTGATAATTTAGTTAATTATTATTTTTTGAGCATCTAACACCTGGCTCTGGGTCAACATAGCTAATTTACATTTTAATAAAAAAAAATATTTTTTTGAGTAATAAAAAAGTTTATTTTAGAAATTTTACAAGTTGCAAATAAACTAGTGAAGAATTTTTCATCTCCATTTCGAGTCTGGTTTGGCAATATTGCATATATCTGTGTATATGACGGAGACCAGATAAAGGTAAAAGAATAAATATTTTCCGTAAACATATACGTTAAAAAATATTTATTATTATATATATTAAATAATATAAATTTTTATTGTGTGTGTAACTTTTATATTTTATGTTAAATAATGAAACTAATTTTCTAAAGTGTTTGTAAATACTGAAATACCACAAATAAATACACATGTTTAATATGATATAAAGACATTAATAAATTAAGTTTTAATTTTGTGTTTTAGGCTGTCCTGCAAAGTCGATGCTTCGAGAAAAGTTCGATTTATAACATTTTTAAACCAGTATTGAGAACAGGACTTCTCACATCTTCTGGTAAGATATTTCAATAAAAATAAAGTTTAATTAATTGTTATTACTTACTCTAAATATTATTTACATTAGTTGAAATAATAAAATAGTTACAACCACTTTCTCATATACTATTTATTTAGCATTATGTTTATAATGCAATAGTTACACAATAAGCAAATATTATTTATGCATAAATTATATTCGCTTATATACAGGGTGTCTGGCAATAATCGCCCCACCGGTCATATACAGGTAGAGGAGGTCAAATCGAGTAGAAAAGTCCTTTACCATTTTTAATTTTCATAATAAGTACTGAGTAATTAACGAAAAAAGATCGGCGAATCCGCGCGAGTAAAGCGCGCGCGGTGAGGACATCCCACTGCTATGCGATCACTAGGCGCGCGATGAAGCGTTGGGAGGAGCGCTCTACAAATGACAATGGCAACATACGAGCGGCGCGTAACGCTAGATCCTTGTGTCCTAGTGATCGCGTAGCAGTGGGACGTCCTTCTCACCGCGCGCGCTTACTCGCGCGGATTCGCCGATCTTTTTTCGTTAATTACTCAGTACTTATTATGAAAATTAAAAAATGGTAAAGGACTTTTCTACTCGATTTGACCTCCTCTACCTGTATATGACCGGTGGGGCGATTATTGCCAGACACCCTGTATATATATATAGAAAAAATCAAACTCCACAGTAAAACTGTAAATCTCTTGTGGAATTTGATCTTTTCTGTTTTTATTATTTTTATACTCACTTCCTTGATTTACCCGAGTATACTTGAACAGTATTATTATATTTATTATATTTACCCCGAAATATCACAGAGAAGCTGTTAATATTATATAACAGATAAATAAGTTTTTTCTAATTATACTTTTGTATTTATTTATTTCAGTATCTATATGGAGTTCAAATCGAAAAATGATGGAGAGAATTTTTACTCCAAACCACCTTCGAATGTACTTTAATATATTTGTGCAACAATCATTAGCACTTACGGACGAATTAGAAAAAGTTGAACAAAATAGTAATGAAATTATACTTCTTGACTTCCTATATAGATATAATTTGAACATTGCGTGTGGTAAGAATAAGTAACTCTATTATTTTGTAAAATGTCTATTTTTGTATATTAACAAACAATTTTTAAGATAAGAATTATTTGGTAAAAAATACAATTCTTGCATATTTTCGTAAATATTTCTAAAATTTTCTAAAAACAAATTAAAATAAAAATTTCTTTTGAAACCGAACATGTAAAAATTAATTAGTTTTTTAACTAAATATTGAATAAAATTTTAAAACAGTTTATAGTTTAATTCAAAAACTGGATATTTAGCAACTCTCTATGTAAATACAGTTTATGTACTTAGATATTATAATGAATGTTAATCTATTTTTCTTTTTATGTGATGCTATAGAAACTATGTTGGGCCTCAAAGTGGAATCACAATTACTACACCAATTACTTGAAATAGTGATGAGGTATAAATGTATTTAATTTAAATTCTTATTAATATCAAATTTATATTGTAGAAATAAACCTTTTTACAACACATATAAATATATATGTATATATATATACGTATATATATATATATAATTCTTTTTTTTTAATTTAATATTTAATTATAGTGATAAAAAAACTAAATTATAATATAATTTATAAAATTTTATGATTACTTTTAAATATACTTTTAGTCATGATTTACGGAAAAAACATGTTTCAGCATAAAGAAAACTTTTAGATATAGATTAAGTCACATATTTTTGCATTCAAATGTTATATTCAATCTTTCTACTACAAAACGGAGACAGCAAAAACTATTAAATAATGGCATTTTGCTTATAAATGAGGTATAGCTATATTGAAATATTATTTATTAATATTCTGACTTGAATTCCTTTATTTATGTTATATGTGATTTCTAATTACTCAGATACTGCAAAGGAAACATGCATTCGATAAATTTGAGGCAACCAAATCCAACAGTGAGACACTTCGTAAGTTTGTTAATGTTTTACTTAATTAAGTATTTATATTTGTTCAATGTTATAATATTTAAAAATTTTTTAAATATCGGTAAAAAATATTTTTTTAGACAATTATTGCTGATAAAGTTTTATTGATGAAACGCTATTTTTAATGATTTTTTTCTTTTCTTTTAATACTTTTGCAAAAATTTTTAAATTATATCTATAAGAAACTTATTCTTATAAGAAAGTAATTAATTATTTTATATATATTTGTTCAAATAACACAGTTTTCGACATTCTGTTGGAAGCATCTCATGAAGGAAGATTAACTCAACAAGAACATTTGGATCAAGTGATTACAATGTTATTCGCAGTACGTGTTTATATTTCCACATTCAAACTATATGTAAACGTATAATAAAACAGGTTTTTATTTACGTAGGCCACTGACACAACTGCTCTTACAATAAATTTTGTGACTTTTATGCTCGCAAATTTCCCAGAAGTACAGGTACGTAAACATTAAATTTATTAAAGTACAATACAAGTTATTAACTTACTTAATACATATATAAAACTTACAAATAGTTAATGTAATTTCAAGTTAGTAACTATATGTAATATATTATTTATGTTAAAAACTTAAATAGATTTATGTAAACATTTTCATTTATTATTACTTACACTTCAGTTATTACTGACAATATTATTCTATAAGCAATGCATGAAATTTTAATCACAAGTATAGAGCAATATTTTAAAAAATACATATAATTGCTGCAAATTATTTCAAACTAGGAAAAAGTGTACAATGAATTATCAGAAATTTACGGCACTGAATCTCCAAAATCTGTACCAATTAAATATGATGATTTGCAAAAAATGGAATATTTGAATCGAGTTATTAAGGAAACAATGAGACTCTTCCCATCTGGTCCTTTGATTGGACGAATTCTAACAGAAGAATTAAAGATAGGTATGATTAACCAAAATTGTGTATTATAATAATTTATTTAAAAATTGTGTTTTTTCGTGCTACAATTAAAAGCCAGAGATACATATAAAAGTAATTTTTTAATAATAAGACGTATGTTTACTTAGATTATTTATTACTATTACATTTTTATTATAATATTATTTTAATATAAACATATGTATATTTTAGGAGAAATTATTTTACCTAAAGGAGCTGATATACTTATGTCTATATTTCATATGCACCGAAATAAGAAACATTGGTCGAATCCCTTGGTGTTCGATCCAGATAGATTTCTCCCAGGAAACCTAAAACATTGTTCGAAATATTTCATGCCGTTTAGTACCGGACTCAGAAATTGTATTGGTAAGCATGAATGAGTAACAAATTATCATGATAAAATTGTTTTATATATAATTAACAAAATTGCAGGTCAGAAGTATGCGATGATTTCTATGAAAGTCATTCTTGCAACATTGATACGAACATTTGAATTTAAATTAGATAAAAATATCAATATATATGATATAAAACTTAGTATAGACGCAACATTGTGTACTGTAAATCCTCTGAAAGTTAAAATAGAAAAAAGAAATTATTGAATTTAAAAAATATAACAATTTAGGTTAAAAGAATATGTAAATGGGAAATATGAGAAATAAAGGGTAAAGGATATAAGTAAATTACAAGTGAATTATTATACAGACAGTACCTATACTTTTTTTCAGTACATTTCATCAAACAAATGCGAAGAACATGTATAGCCATGTGCCAACAGATTCCATTTCGATTTTATCTTTTGAAATAATTTTGAAATAATTTTGAAAGTTGAAATAATTTTATGTTACCTTAAAGAAAAAGTGTATACAGCAGTACCAAATACTCGAGAAAACATGGTGGAACGTATTAGATATGCTTGCGCGCACAAATAACGCCAGATACACTTTCTACATGTGTACAAGCATTCTAAGCTCGAGTTAATAAATGCATCGAAATGGAAGGTCATCATTTCGAGCATTTATTGTAATTGAATAGAGAGAGGCGAGGGAACTCACCGAAATAAAGCACTCCGATGGTGAGAGAAAATGGCAAAAACTAATTTACACTGATTACAGCGCCATCTATCACGATTCGAAAAAATGTCTCGGACAAAACTTACGTATTTTTTTCCAAGGAATCCGAATCTGCAATAAAAAATGGGGGTTCCCATTTGAAATTTCAAAGTTGCCACCCGCCCACCCCCAAGAGGCGGTGGGGCGGGTTAATTTTTACACAGGCAGACGTGATAATATTAAAAGTTTATTTGGGACATTTTTTCATACAATGCTTATTTTTCAAAATATTTAGTTGTCTCAAGTTAAATGGGACACCCTGTATATACCTTGCCGCAAATATTTATAGGTAAAGCTGTGTTAATTTGCCACAAGTATCGTCGATGTATCACCTATTTATTTATTAAATTGCACGCACTCGCGCAAACACACATACACACATACACAAAGATAGGTCATTTTCGACATTTTATACTGGTTACAAGACACAATTAACATATATTTAAACAGTTTTTAACAAATTAATATATTTAAATAGTTTTTAACAAATATACGACAAAAGCACAGACATCATTATCTTTTTCTATCACCGTCATGTTGCTCTTATGTTGTCGAAAATGAATGACAAAGCAAAATGTTTTCCATGAATAGAAGTCATTTTGTTGGCAACAAAATGAACAACAGTTGCTCTCCGTTTGCTCTGAATCTGCTGACACGAAATGTTTCAAATCTGCTCCCGTGTTGTTGAATACGTATGACTATGCATTACGTTTTTAACAAATATACAGCAACTAGTCAAAAATTCATGCTCAGCATTAAGTTGCATGATCTTGCAAAACATGCTTGGCTATCAGGGTTAGCACAAAAAATTGTTGTTTAACAATGTTAGATAATTTAACCGATATCATTTGATCATAATTACTCTTCTAAGTCTTTTCAAAAGCTATCCAGTCAGAATGAATTATCTCGCTTCAATCTGCAGTCTGCATATAATGTCCTCTCTAATTATCATTATCTTTATTTTTTTCTCTTCTGCCTTTGCATAAATGTAAGCAATAACTTCTCTCTCTCTCTCTCTC